GAGGGCCTATTTTCTGAGTCGTTGCTATAGCTATGTTAAACGGATGCAGCATACTCGAGCGCACTGGAGTGAGTAAAATGGTGAAAAATGATCGTCCATATCCTCTGCTGGACAACCCGATCGCGTTTTAAAAAATACACTGGAAGGTAAAGGTCCTCAGAATACAACAGTGCTCGAAGTGAAACTGCCAAGCATGATATGAAAAAACGACATCATGTTACTTGGTAAAAAGCTTGATCGGAGCCTGAAATGACCTGATTTGTAGAAGTTTCTTTGTTCCAGTGAAGAGCCCCCCCTCCAAACCTTAGATTCGCACTATCTATCATAAATTCTGCGAGGCCCCAAAGTAGCCACTTTGCCAGGGGTTTCTAATATATATACCATTATATTTCTTTCCAGATAGCATGATCGTCCAATCACATAACCCCGGATTACTGCTTCCTAGTTTCCCATTCTTGGTGAAACCTCGTGGGGTCGAGAGAAGCTTTTTTTAGGGGGGGATCTGGTTGGGGTGGCCGGGGTTTTAAGCTTTGGCAGGTGGGTATCCGATGGCGTACAAGAGTTAAATAACGCATGGGGGCCCCAGAGATAAAATATAGTAGACATGGCGCAGGTCTTGATTGGAATGGCACAAACTGCGCTCGTATGCTGGGGGGTAAACCGAGCTTAGGGATGGCAGCCGACTGGTATTATATAGACTCTGTAAACCAGGTGATCTATTTGGGAGAGTAATTTTTATCTTGACCTCGAATATCGGGAATTCTATGAGAAATTCGGTTGGCTTTCCTGGTAGTACTGTAGTTTAGTGGTCTCCCTCGCTGCTCCCTCAAGTATGATATTAGTGTTGCTCCTCGCTCCCCTTCCCGGGGGATAGCCAGTTCCTTCCGTCCCCACTGTAACAGGACGGAGATTTCCCTCCCTGGGCTAGCGTAAAGGTTGAGGCAGGTGACCAGCAACGATGATTCGGTGATATGTGGTACTGCATTACCCTCATGTTAAACTCCCACTATTAGATCAGACGGAATGCTGAATGAAAGGAGCAGGCTGTTGGTGGGGGTTCAGAGGACTCGGTCTACTCATGTAGGTTAGTTTCATATACCCACTGCATGTTCCAAGATGGGTAGAGGTTCACAGAAGCTTAAAGCCTGCCCGGGATGCAAAATATCCTCCTTTCACCTCGGCTCCTGTCTGCGGTCCCAGACCTCGGTCACTACTGATTTTCAGAGTATTTCGAGTGCGGAGAGCCCTGGCCCTGACATATACTTCTAGCCATCTAGGCCATTATTGCAAGAGCAGATATTGTTATGCTTCCGAGTGACCGAGCATGATTTCTCTGATTTTGGGGGTGTTTAGTTTGACACATATGTATGATAAGCGTTTATATGGATTGGACGGAACACTAGCACACGCGCCAACAGCCCCTATACCTACACAGCTTTACTGGTGTGGTATTTTATCTTTCTCACTATCGCTTGTTACCGTGAGGTTTAAAATGCCGCTGGCGCAGGACCTTGTGCAGACTCGGAGTGTACTATACACTTGTATTCCCAACGGGGTAGCTGTGACCAATTTCATAATCGGGTCAAAAAAAGAACAATTGGCGATGAGGAATCCTCAGGACGAGGAGCAGATGGAAGACCATGTGGTGAAGATGCGATAAGGAAAAGTGTGTGCATGATTAGTGGTGGGCAATGAGACTAAAGTGGTTAGCGAAAATAGCTTGATAACCAAGCAATTTTCTAGTAGTTTATCTACATTTTCGGAGTATATGGAGCGATAGGAGTTGCCGAGCACCGCCAACGCCCTCAGTGCTTGGAACCTGTCGAACTTCTTTGATTTCTCATCGTGTGTTCCTCGGCATGAGCTAGCAGAGGGCATATTCGGATATCTGATAGCCACTGACAAAATATTTACTAACCACATGGCATATGCAGGATGCCCGCCAGCCGTCCTGGCCGCTCGGGAACACTGAGGTTGTGGGATGCTAGGCGGAACGGGGGAAAGGCCGCATATCGGCCTGATAGTCCGGACCTTTAGCATCAGCAACATACAGTTAATACCTTGGACTTAATTTCTGACAATTTTATTAAAAGGAAATAAACTCCAATCCTCAATCTGGTACTGTGCTCCTCTGGATCCTCCGGAGCCAAGCTGGGAGAAGCGAAACTCAAGTTTTTCGGTAGATTGAATCGCTTAACCACCCATGGTAGGCCGGAGATTGAAACGGGCACTCTCACTTCATATACTATACCGTAAGTTCTGGATAAACTCGGCCGGCGACTATTTTCTGTATGGCGATTGCTATCCCCGGAAATGCGCATTCACCATAGGCTTAGGACTTCAGAGAGTTGGAAGCCTCCTTAAGAAGTACACCGGCTAGTTGAGTTTACCAGGAGTTCACGGCATTGTCTTTTGGTAAGAGTCGGAACCGATCCAACCAGAAGGCACGAAGGCCCCCCGAGTCGCCGGGCTTTACTCGTAGAGTAAGGAAACAGCTGCGAGCACGAATCCGACCTGTACGAAAATATACTCTAACAAATGTTGAGTTTCCTTGACCAGCACTATATAATAGAGTACCCTTATACCACCATGATAAACTCCGATCCATAGCGATCAAGTGAGGCAAGTGTAATGTTACGAGTAACTACTGTAGGAGGCCAGCGGCCGCCCCGGGGGCACCTCGTAATCCACGACCGGCGAGAGGGCATGGAGTTGTTGTACTGTATAGGTAGGACCCTGAAATGTCAAAAAAAAAGTGCTTTTCTCGGCGTGAGGGATTAGCATTATTTGGGTCTGTTAATCTTTATTGTTATGGAAGCAGACAAGGCGAGGGAAAAACGAAAAAGAGGAGGGTAAAAAAAAAGATATAGGAATCATTTTGAGAGCAGTTCATTGCGCAGCGCAAACTAGGAATAACTGGAAAAAGCTCAGCTGTCCGTAAGGTGAGTGCAAGTGCCAGGGAAGATCCCCTCACGCGATACAAGGATTATTTCATAGGCTGGCCTGGGTTGACTATTCACCGCAGTAACCATATCGCGGGTACCGTTACTGGGGGGAACAATAATCCGGATACCCCCAATACATTTCTGTGGCTGGGATATCAACCGGGCAAGATAGATTATTAGAAACTTAAGGTGATAGATTGGCTTGTAGTGTCTTAACTATCTAGGAACTTGTTTTTCGAATTTCTAAAGATTTTTGACAGGTGTTGGATTTCGTTGTTAAAATCGGGGGTTTTTTTTTGGTTCGTCCCTAGTCACTAGTTGACAATATTGCTGGGAGTACTGGAGTACAAAAATGCTGTGGAATAGTGGTATGTTAATTCTTCGCCCGGGGACCGCAAAATATTTATTGGGCCACCACCAACTCGAGTACTAGATGAATATCAATAGGACGGAGTTCCCGACTGGGGGCGAAACTGTTGAGACGAATGGAAGGAAGGTAGGTAACTGCCGTGCTATAGTGATACCGGGGATTCTTTTTCCCTCCACTCTCTTTTTTCGTTTTTTTCACTGCCGAGGGAAAAAGAAGGATTACAGGTACGGTAGACCCCTGTCCATATGATATTTGAGGTGATTAGTTGACCTCCAAAAAGCATTTTGGCGAGGATCGATTTCTAGTATACCTATGCTGATTTTATGATGCATCGTCGTCCAAGTTTCGATTGGAGCATCGAGTATTGGATCTAAGTGGTATGAGACCGGGGAAGTTCCTCGTACATTCCTATCCCCTAGAGAGGTGAAATGATCAAACTCAGTGCAGCCAAGAATTGAGCAATCCGTGGTGACTTTGTCACGTCCTAGACTGTGGATAAGCGGCTTGGCCACTTGCTGGTCCTGTTGCAAAGTCACTGCCAGATGCTCAATTCCTAGCTGGATTGAACCTCATTGTTCCACCTACCGAAGGGACAGAGGTGATGTACGAGCACAAGTACTATCTCCTAACGAGGCATCTACTAATCTGGCAGGGTGCTGTACTAGTACGTGTTGAGATCTGGTGGAGCTTGAAAAAGAAATGTCTGACAATATCAACGAGGGGAAAAAAAAAGTACGTTATAGTCTCGACCTCCCCCTATGAGTCCTGTGTAACTAATTGCTCCATGAGTATCACGTCATCGGTTTTACTGCCATTGCCTAACCACTATGAAAGTTCGAAAACGCTTCCCGTATCCTGCCTTCTCCCATTGTGCGAGCCCTGTGGTAGCCGTTAGCTTAGAAGAATAGCGGACAACTCTATTGCAGGAGAAGTACTAAGAGGCACGATAATATCTGGGTCTCTCTATAAATTTCCCTGAAGTGATCCGGCAGTTTTCCAACTCTTCTGACCTACACTTCCTAGTATGAGCCGCTGCTAACGTCCCTAAAAGAAAAAGGTGTGAATATGATACGTTGGTGGTAGTAGTGCTCAATATAGCATATCGCGTTCACGACGCATGCCAGGAATTAGCACCAGACCAGCTAGTCTCAGGAGAGGCCTTCTACTTCTTTCAACTACAGCGAAAGGAGGTGAGCCGGGTATCAAGTGTACATATTTCGATACCATCTACAAGCTCCTAACTTGAATACAGAGGGGAGGCGGGGGGTGGTTCAAAGGTTTGCAGTTCCGTAGATTTCTAAATAACTAAGCCCCCCCCCCCCTCCTTCACCTACACCTCACCGGAGAAAGGATTTCTGCACGGGCCAGTATAGCTCTTCTTCTCTGATCAGCTTTGAGTCTTTTCGAACGTCTCCTGCCCCTTGTCCTTGTGGGGTAACGGTGGTCGCAAGATAGATCCATCTGACTTTAATAAGATATGTAAAGCTCATCCTCCCCGACATTTATTTTCTCCTTAGCTTCCATAGGCTACATTATTCCCCTGGGATTTCCGGCAGTTCCTATCCATTCATTACCAGCTCTCCAGCTTGGTAGCTTGGCACATTCGCTTTCTTCTACTTTATCCCCCCCCTCTTCCTCTTATTCTACCACTTCCTCCCCTTGGTCTCCTAGTTTCTCCCATCGAAATGCATCTCGGCGATTTCCTCGGGATTGTGATTATCACGACCACTGCTTCTGCACTCCCTTCCCTGTTCACGGCGCCTACTACTGAAGTTTTGGCTCCGAAGCTGTTCTCTAAACGGATTGCCAATTGTGCCCATGGCCCTACTACTAGGAACTGTTGGGATGGGGGCAGGGATATCAATACCGATTATTACAGTAACTTCCCGCTCACGGGGAGAGTCCGTGAGGTAAGGAGATACAAGGAAAGTACTAACGTTTGGCAAAAAAAGATTATTTGGCGGTTTCTTCATAATCTTCTCAACAAAAAAATGAAACAAGGTGGTCAATTGCTAACTCTTGGCTATCAATTAGTACTGGTTGAGAGTCGAGAACTCGACTTTCGCTCCCGATGGATACCAGCGTACTGTGTTGACCTTCAATGGGACATTACCGGGCCCTACGCTTCATGCCGGTGAGAAGGACCCTTTATGATGTCACCATGTCATGTACCCTCTCCTTCATGGAATGTCGTACTGACATCTGCAGACTGGGGTGATACCATGCGTATCCATGTTACAAACGGCATGGAATACAACGGGTATCTTACCTCTCTCTCAACCCAACCGCCTTTGAGTGGCGCCTAACAGTTTCCTAGAACGAGCATACACTGGCACGGAGTCCGTCAATTGGACACAACCGAGCAAGACGGTGTTAACGGGATCACTGAATGTTCCTATCACACTTCCCTGGTTTCTAAATATAGTTGCTAACAACTTCACAGGCCCATTCCCACCAGGTTACAGCCTAACCTACGAATGGAAGGCAACCCAATACGGAACCTCCTGGTACCACTCTCACTTTTCCCTACAATACGCCGACGGTGTCGCCGGCGCACTCGTAATCAATGGGCCTGCAAGTGCAAACTACGACGAAGACCTAGGCCCTATCATGCTGGACGACTGGTACCACAGCACTGCGTTCGGGCTCTGGCAACACATCCCTACGACTGGCCCTCAAGCAGCAAATAACGGACTAATCAATGGCATGAACGTATTCGACTGTTCGGGAAGCACGGACCCTAACTGCGTCGGCGGCGGGAAGCGGTTCCTTACAAAATTCAAGCCCGGGAAGAAGTACCTCTTGAGGTTCGTCAATATAGCTACGGATACCTTTTTCAAGGTCACACTAGATAATCACACAATGACCGTTATCTCCATGGATTTCGTTCCTATCACACCATACGAGACAGAGTTCGTTTCTATCGGAATCGGTGAGCGGTATCAAGTTATCATTGAGGCGAACCAGGCCACGGATAACTATTGGCTCCGGGCAATCTCACAAACCTCGTGCGGAGCTGCCAACCCTAATAGATTAAACATAAAGGGGATAGTTCGGTACTCTGGTGCCGCAAACAGAGAGCCCACTACCAGCGCTCGCGCAATTCCAGACAGCTGCGCTGATGAGCCGAAAGACAAGCTCGTCCCAGTTGTCGCGAAGTCCGTCCCACCATCAGACCTATCTATTTCTCAGCGGGAGAACGTCTCTATGACTATATCCGACAACAGAATACACTGGAAACTAAACGGTATCTCCGCGAAGATAGACTGGTTGAACCCCACCCTTCTGCATGTCCTCAAGGGGCAGACTTTTCCGGAGGACTACAACGTCTTGGAAATCGACGGTTCCAACCCATGGTACTACCTTGTGATCGAGACAGACCTCCCCATCGAGCACCCCATCCATCTCCATGGTCACGACTTCTATCTCATCGCCCAAGAATCCGGAACCTTCGACACCTCCAAGGTCAAACCGAAATGGTCCAACCCACCTCGCCGCGACGTCGCCATGCTGCCCGGGAGCGGGTACATGGTCATTGCCTTCCAGACAGATAATCCGGGTGTCTGGCTCCTGCACTGCCATATCGCTTGGCACGTTAGCGGTGGTTTTGCGCTTCAATTTGTTGAGAGGAAGACGGACTTGTTGAAGCGGTTCAACCCGGCCGGGGCTTGGACCGATACTTGCTCTGCCTGGAACACTTACATCTCTTCGGATATTGATCCCTCGCAAGAAGATTCTGGGGTTAAGAAGTAGAGGGTACTAAGAACTTTTAAATTGGAGTCCTACTGTAGAACGCACAGTGATTCAGTACGGCGATAGAGGTTGGGGAAGCTTTACTCACTCCTTACTTAAAAATTAGTTTATTGTGTTGTTCGTTCACCCGTTTTCATTTCCCTTGTTTATTTGAAAAGGTATTTTGAGTCTTTCCTATCTGCCTTAACCATAGTTTGACAAGGTCCTTGGTAGTAGGATTGTCGCAGCTAATCATTAGTTATCATAAATTTCTTGTAATCCCACGAACAGATGAGACATGCAGATCCCGTGCCCCCCGAACTCGAGTTGTCACAAGCAGAGTTTTTTGGCATAGAACTGTAAATTAGCACACCATATTATCTCAACTGTTACCAAATATCTCGTGATAAAAATAAGAATAAGGCCCTGTTCGACACGTACATACAAGTTTAAAAAACATCGCGGTGAGTTCGAGAGCTGTGGTAATTCTTATGGTATTTTTTTGGGGTTTCTAGAGCAACCTTGTCTACTTATCATATCATATACTAGTAGCTCAAGAAAAATAAAGTTAAGTTGGATATAAGTTACTTGTTTTCTATAAACTGTGTCAGTGTACGAGGTAAAGGAAAAGTTGGAAAGAGCATAGTTAAAAGCACGGCTCCAACATCTGGGAGAAGAATATTGATTTTCACATTTTTATCCTAATTTTCACATTTTTATCCTAAATTACCATATTTTAAAAAATGCCAAACTAAAAGATAAACTATAGTATTTTCTCAGAAACACTTTAGTATGTGTTGTGTGTCGAATATGTGCCTAATTGGTTATAAGAGTATAATCAAATTTTGTTGTTGTTCTTCTCTCCAAGCAGTACCATAGCTGGTGCTTCTGGAGTCCTTAGTGGGGGTATGGTATGGTCGCTGGGAGTTGTTACCAAACTTAATTTCAGTCAGGTGAAAGAGACAGGTATTATTGTAATAGTAGGACCAATGGAGAATGCTTTCTTCAAGCTCATGAGGGGGTGTATTGTGGAGAGTACAATTATGTTTCCATTCATCATGGATATTTCTTACTCTTTCTGTTCCTGCCGCAGCATACATAGAATAGGATAAAGGAGTGGAGGGAGGGGTTGCATTGGCTGTAGCCATTGGTGTAACCGGTAAGAGTACTTGGTTAAGAGTTTTGTTTTATGTTTTATTTTATGTATCTTTTTGATACTTAATGTAACGATCCCTCCTTGGACAGTTAGTTTTTGGCGACGGGGAACGATACTTCTCTTTTCTCTGTTTCTATTTCTTCATTTTACGATAGCTCTAGGGCTATGCCTACGTTACCGATAGTACAAGACCTTTGTCTTCTATCGGGAATGCCTATCATAAGCTTTCTCTAACTTGTCTTCGTGAAGAACTTTCCTTGGCATAACGATAACATTGCAATAAAGATAAAGATCGTAAAGGTGTTTTATATTCGTTAAAGTAATAAGTAGGAAAAGTACTTAGAATTCAATCTAATTTTATTTATACTAGTACCGCCGACACCGGCATATGACCAGTCTCCCCCATGCCCTATAAAATAAACTATCTAAAATACACTACCGCGGACCATTCCACCTTGCAATCACTCCCCCCAAATATAAATCCAAAAATCACTACCTAAATGGGCCCACAGGCGCTCACAGCAACTAGTGCTGTCCCAGATTAATGCGTCTTCCCACCTCGCTACCCAGCCACTGTCTCATACCCTAACTCCTATCCGCCTCCAACACAATCTGTCCCACGTACTCTACAAAGGAAACATACAGCCTATCCCAACATCCCTCCGTCCTTTTATAATGTAGTCCCAGGTTCAAGTACCCCTCGGCCAGAACCATCCCACAGAAAGAACAGCGCTCTTCTTTTAACAACCCCTTTGTCTTAGCCTACCACAAAACTACTGATGTTCGAGTCGCGAGGTCCAGCTCATCCCATTGCTGGTGCCGAGAATGCCAAAACCAATCATGACACGTCCATAAACAGCGGGGCTTTTTCTCAAGGTGTTCGGCGAAGGTAACTCGCTTCTGGGTAGCCGTCGCTGAAATGGCGGTCCCACAACAGGGACAGTCACAACGTCATTGGTCGGGCAAGAAAAACAATTTCTTCGGTACGGTGACCAATCCAGGTAGAACACATCCACTGCTATAGTGTCTTTTCTCTCACCGGGTGCAGGTCGTGGGATCCTCCACTGTCGCCAACCGACCACTTCTTTCCACTATCAGTGTGCCGTCAAAGGGGTTACCTGCCACTACCAACTCCCCATCTACCGTTTCAACATGCCGGGGAATCCCTAGGCCTAACCACCTGTGACTTACCCATCAGGACCTCCACCGCAATATTGCCGAATTCTTGTATAAGTCCTCGTCAGCGGGGCGTCCCATAGCATAGCGGGGGCGCTCAGTCCAGTGGTGTCTGTCATCCCTCCCTTCACAGCTGTCATGCCTGACCAAGCCCATCCCGCTGCGAATTCTCAGTAAAACGTAGAAATCCATGTGGGTAAGACCACAAAAATGCCGAGGTGATCTAGGTTCACGAGCATAATACCTGTGTCCCTCACTGTCGTGCCAGGAACCCCACTCTTCTTTCTGCAACTTGCGGGGCAAGGCTGCATACCCAATCCCAAAGCTAACCCCTTCCCAACTTAGAGGGCGCAATGGACAACCCACGCAGGCCTTAGCTTTTTGGTCTACCATCTCATTGCCGTTGATGCCTATGTGTCCCAGAACCCAGCTAATGCTGACATGGCTAAACGCATTAAGCAGTGGTGTCATAACTTCCGACAGTTCAGCCAAATCTCCTTCCGAAAATATACCGTCCACCAGGGTGAGGGCAGGAACGCAGTCCAGAAACTCATAGACCAGGCGCCTCTTGGCCATCCCTTGGGCATATCAGAGTGTACAGACAACCGCAAACAGCTCGCACTCAACAATGCTCCAAGACGGGGGAACCGAGCACCCGTCGACACAGGTCAGTGCTCCTTTCTCAAATACTGCCCATGCCACACCAGCCCCTTCAGAGGACTTGGACCCATCCGTGTATATGACTACGTCCGAGGACTTGCACAGATTTGTGTACAGTGAACGGTGGCGTGCAGCCATTACCGCCTTACCTTTCCCGATCATAATCGTGGGGCGGCAGGTGAGTTCCTTGTCCAAGTTCTGCCGATGTGCCACCATCCCTTCCTGCTTCCAACCGAGCCGTATCTCACCGAACTACGGGTGTCGATCACAGTACCGGTAGTTAATAAATCGGCTGTAACACCTCCTCTGCAGATACCTCCCTTGGATGGCAACAGGTAGTGTTCCGAACTCAGCCAGCAGTATATTGTTTGCCAGCTTCATAGGGGTCCGGAAGACTGATCGGAGGCAGTCGTTGACGTGGACCTGAATTTGTTTCACATACAACCTGTGGTGGGTTACAAATTCAAGCCCGTAATACAGGGTCGGAAGGTAGGCTGCCTGTACCAAGCGGTAGGTCTCCCACGCTCCAAGCCCACCAATACTCCCAAACCTCCTCCCCAACGCCAAAATCCTTCTCCTAACACCCAACCCCCTTTCCAACCAATACTTTATTTGGGAAGAAAAGTTAAGAAATACATTAAACCTATACCCAAGAACCCGCAAATCCTCAGAAGGCAAACCCATTTCTCCCAACAACTCCATTCCTCCCCACGCCCTGTCCCCAAATCCGATCCACTGGGTCTTAAGGGCGCTGAACCCCATCCCCCTAGCCCTTGATATACGATCGCTGTCTTTAAAGATTTCTCCTGCATGGTATCTGGCAGCATTATAAGAATCTGCAGCTACCATGATGACCCCATCATCGACATATGAGATCACTAATTGTCGGACCCCAGGGGAGTAACGCATTTGTAGTGTGAATATATCCGCTACATTGGCCCTGAAGAGAAAAGGAGAGAGGGGTGAGCCTTGAGGCACCCCTTTGCTGACATAGTAGACTTTAGAGACGCATCCATTAAAACGGAAGCGAATCGACTGACAGGAAGTCCATCTTCGTACCCACTGGCACAGGTTCAACGGACACCCCCGGGCAACCAGGAAGTTTGACAGGAGGTCAACATCAATGTTATCGAATCCTCCTTCAACATCCATGGACAAGATCAGTCGTTTATAGCCCTCATTATGCTGTAGGAATTCAAAGACCACCGCCATGGCGTCGTGAACCCCCCTCTTCTGGCGAGAACCAAACTGTGTCTCCCCCAGGTCAAGACACATGGCCAGTCTCAGCAGGACCACGCGTTCTGCAACCTTTGCAGGTGTTGGGAGGAGGTGTCTCATTCTCCACGACTTGACAACATCGTATCTGGGTTTGTCAATCCTCGGTATGAGCACTACCTCTGCCCGATGCCAATCCGGAATATCATGACGTAACCCGTAGTCGACCAGACGTCTAAAAGTTGTTGTATCCCTCCGCTTCCAGAACGGTATAAAAGGATACCTGATATCATCCTCTCCTGGACCCGTGTTCGTAGGGGACCTAGCCAGGGTGATCTCCATTTCCTGAGCACTGTCCATATCAATCATAGAGTCTTTCCAAGGAGCAGGATCACCAGGGGATAGCTGCTGTGCGATCAGGTCGCTGATGTCGGAATGTGTTGGGGCATAGGACCCATCTGGTCGGGCCATGGAGGGAAGTGTTCGCTTAGCTTCCAACTTTCGTGCCAGCTGAAAAATGTCCGGGTCCTGACTTTCAGCTATCTTGGTCCTGATGTGTTCGAACTTGGCCCTCAACAGGCAAGCCCGGTAAACACTCCTGACCAGTTTGTAGTCCTCCGTCTCCTCCGCCTTGTACTTGGAGTATCATCATAGCCGAGCCATATCTAACCTCATCGTTTCCTACTCCAGTGTCCACCACTCGCACCGACCTGTGCCAATGGAGGCCCGTAGGAGCGCTTCCACCACACGCCTCACCCCTTCCCATAACTTCTCGTCTCCCACCTCTTTAAGGGCATCTAGCTGCTTCCCGACT